GTGCAGTCGCCCTGGTTTGGGGTGCCTTTTGCCCTCTTTTGGGGGTACTTTTGCCTTTTTGGGGGTGTTTTCACCCTGTTTTGGGTGCAGTCCCCCGCTTCCAGGTGCCTTTGCTATTTTTGGGGGGGGTGCTTTCGCCTTTTTTGGGGTGCTTGCACCCTAGTCTGGGTGCTTTTGTCCTGGTTTTGGGGTGTTTTCGCCCTGGTTTGGGTGCATTCACCCCGTTCCGGGTGGTTTTGCCCTGGTTTGGGTGGGTTTTCCCTGGTTTGGGTGCATTTGCCCTTTTCTGGGTGCTCTCACCCTGTTTTGGGGTGCTTTCACCCTGGGTCTGGGTGCTTTCGTCCTGCTTTGGGGTGTTTTCGCCCTGTTTTGGGCGCGTTCACTCCGTTTTGGGTACATTCACCCTTTTCCTGGGTGCTTGCGCCCTCTTCTGGGTGCTTTCACCCCGTTCTGGGTGCATTCGCCCTGCTTTGGGTGCTTTCACCCAGTTTTAGGTGCATTTACCCTTTTTCTGGGTGCTTGCGCCCTCCTCTGGGTGCATTTGCAGCGCTATGGGTGCATTTGCTCTGGTTTTGGGTGCATTTGCCCTTTTCTGGGTGCAGTCACCCTGCTCTGGGTGCATTTGCTGTGCAGTGGGTGCTTTCATCCTGTTTTGGGTGCAATCGTCCTTTTCTGGGTGCTTTCCCCCTGGTTTGGGTGCTTTCCCCCTGCCTGGGGTGCATTCGCCCCGTTTTGGGTGCATTCGCCCTGTTTTAGGTGCAGTCACCCTTTTCCTGGGTGCTTGCGCCCTCCTCTGGGTCCTTTCATGTTGCTCTGGGTGCATTCACCCAGTTTTAGGTGCTTTCACCCTGGTTTGGGTGCATTTGCTCTGCTATGGGTGCTTTCATCCTGTTTTGGGTGCATTCTCCCCGTTTTGGGTGCATTCTCCCTGTTTTGGGTGCTTTCATCCTGTTTTGGGTGCCTTCGCCCTGTTTTGGGTGCCTTTCCCCTCGCTTTGGTGCAGTCACCCTGTTTTGGGTGCACGCTCACCCACCCTGGGAGACTCTCGCCATCCCTGCACCCACGGGCACCCCCGACCCCACGGGTGCCCCTCGGCCCCCTCCCACGTCTCCGTCCCCTCCCCAGGTCTCCCACCGCGCCACATGGACTCGGTCGTTGCGATCGTGGAAGCCCCCGCAGCGACTGACCCCGACGTCACCGGCACTGTGCCGGAGCTGGCGCGGGCGCTGGGTGGCTGCAGCACCCCGGGGTGCCGCGCGGTGCTGGGAGAGCCACCCGATGTCCCACCAGCCCCACGAACGCTCAGCCGTGAGCAGTGGCTGCGCTT